GACAATAAGAAAAATATAGAATAAACCCAGATTGGATGCAAATTAAAGAAAGATGAGGAAGAGGAGTTTCTTATTAAGTCAGTGGTCTTACCTAGCCAGTACCAATCCATTAACAATGACATTCTTGAAGGGTGGTTTGCCAAACAGCGCAGTGGAGAGCACCAACAAGGTGTAGAACCTACAGCAGGATACAAGAAGATGGCACACAAGGTCAGGGTCACAAACAGGACTGAAACATTACAATTCATTCCTTTTAGGATTGAGAAAAACACATCTATCCATTATTATTCAGCCATTTGCTATTATTTCAGACTTATCCATTCAATAAAAACTATTAATTATTAAGTCTTTCAGGAACACACTCGTCCGCCTGATCAATCCATTAATGTTTTGCTCTTGTCAATTCCCCCGGTGAAATCAGAGCTCTATGTCTCAATAGACCTTTTTCACAGCAGTGACATTAATTAAAAGGTTCCATTTAGTGTAGCAGAGCCTTTCCAATAGCAGCACCCTGACTGTTTGACTTGAATGGAACTTTAATTCTATGTAATATGTTTACCCTACTATTTTATGTCAAAATGGCTGCAGGCAGGTCTATTCCTCATCTCCAAGTCTTTTTATCCATCCCTCCACAGCTTACCATCCCCTTGTCTGGTCAATGCCTTCGGCGATGAAGTCTGCTGGGAAAGTGTCCTCAAACTCCTTCCTGTTCTCGAAGGGGTAGTGGACCTGGGCGTAAGGCATGCTGCCGCTCTCAAACCAGCAGTCAAACACCTCTGTGACCCTCCGCAGCACTCCCTTACCGCACCGTGATGGGATTGTCAGATTGTCAATGCTGAGCAGAGAAAGTGTGGACAGAAGGAGGGAAAGGAAGAGAAAGGAGGTACAATTGTTTAGACAAATAGCAATACCAATACCAATTCGAGCAGCTCTGTTTTATTTTAGTGGGTTTTTTTATTGCCACGAGGAACTTTTAAAAACATTTGTACACTGTGTGGATCCAAGGGTCTACAGGGTTCTTGGCCGGAGTCCAAAACAACAATTTTATAATCTTTCACTGCTGGGAACGAGGTTTAAGAAAAGAACAGTGGTGCTCATGTTGCGCTGACACCCACTACAACAACGTTGGTTATTGCTTTATGCTTCAAGGATATGGATTAATTTAGTCCATATACCGACTCACTCAGATTAAGCCCATGAACAAAGTCATTGTTACTTCAGTAAAGTTATTTAAACTGAGGAAAACAGATGAACCTGGGTTATGTAATCATTACAAAGTGTCAGCCTGTATGAGGTGCCCACTAAATCCAGATTAAATCCATATGTATGGAAAGTTCCCTTAGTCGAATTCTGGGTAAATAGAAAAATATATCCAAAGAAAGGTGATTAAGCGCATTTAATTTATTTTTCCCTCCAGCAACAGCCTGGTACACATTTCTAGAATTATTAGCACTCAGGCCTATAAACCGTAGATTACACCTTTAATAATCTGCTGTTGGCCACTACAGCTGCTTCGCTGCAGTACTCTGCAGCCTATTGGGGAAAGGGAGAGTTTTTAAGCAAATATTTTCCCAAAACAAGTGCACTGCTGAGTACATTTTTGAGTAGTTGAATATACTTTTGTAGTGTTTTATGCATTAGATTTTGCTAAAATATTCGCTTTCCTACAATACGGGCAGAGCCATTATCTCTGGGATGTGGCCACTTCTATTGTGACTAGGGTTGTGCGATGTGACGATAGATATATACGTATATCATTTCAATACACATATGGTTTATTTTGTTGCGTCACAGATCACACTCTTCCGGAGTTCGTATGTGTTTTTAGGGGGAAGATGAGGCAGGTATGCAATGTAAAGCAAGCGTTTCTCTAGCGATCACTCACAAACTACTTTAATATGCGCACCTTGCTTTCTCACTCCCCAATACACACATGCACACACACCAGCTCGCCTTGCCTCTCTGTTCCTCTCTCTGGGAGTATATTTTCTTAGAAGTCACCCAAAAAAACACAACTTGAGTTTTGGATTTTTCACACACGATACAATTTTCACAAAAACAGATGAGACTTATGTGGTGGAGGCTTGCTGTTATTATCATTGTGGAAATTACCAAAAGTGAACCCAAAGTGGTACCAAATGCTTTACCTGGTCTGTGCTTGTAAAATATCCACTGTCTGCAATCTCTCTGTGTTTCTCTCACTACGTCCATGGTCGTGCGTTGCCCCCCTAAATTAAGTCTTGTGTGTGGACACTGAGACTACAGAATATTTTATAATTTGCATACTTTTTTTAAGACTCAAAGTCAGGATAAGTTAGCCTCTGTTGCCTTAACTGCCTAGACTATTTTAATAAGTCCCTTGCAAGC